ATCTGCTACAAGTGAGCCAAACAGGAACATCTTGGTTCTTTCTGTTTTCCTTGTTTGTCCAGTATTGAGCTGCCAGAGTTCTATGTCCCAGAGTACCACATAAATAAGTACATTTGGAGACCTCTCTTCAATACACTTAATCAAGACAGATTAAAATGGTGTGGATCTGATCTGTATCCAATTTTTTGGGATTCTTAGGCTCAAAAAAGAAGAAATAGCCAAGAAAGCACTTGAGGAACAGGCACAGAGAGAAGATGAGCTCTGCCAGCTAGAAGAACAAAGGAAGATAGAAGAAGAGGAACAGCAAAGATTGGCTGAGAAGGAGAGAGTTCGAAGGGAGGAAGAGGAACAGGAAAAGCTGGCTGAGCTTCAGCAGCAGGTTTGATCTCTAAAAGCAGTGGAGTTAGGCAGGGCTAGGGAAATTGGGTGTTTTTCCTTCTTTTTTTAAGTGGCTTTAGGAATACTGAACATTTGTGTCCTGGTAATTTCACTATCCTGCAAGAGGCTGTCTTCTGTGTCTGACTCAACAGGCAGTGCTTCCTCTTACTGTTGCCTTGAATCTCCTTAAATGGTCCTTTGTCCTTGACTTTGCAGTGTCAATGTCGATTTTTAGTTCCATTTTTAATTGCAACATTCAACAAAGCATAGTGATAACTTCACATTGCAAAAATATCTGTTGATAAACACATACTTTTGTGTCTAATTCTGCGGGGTGGCATTTAAAGAATAAACCAAGTTGCGTGTGTGTGTTTAAATATGAGGGCTACTTATCCCAAACCCTGAGAGTTTTGTTGAAATGGGTATCATAAGAACATAAGAAGACCCCTGCTGGCTCAGACCAGTGATCCATCTAGTCCAGTATCTTGTCTCACACAGTACCCAACCAGTTCCTCTGGAGGGCTAACAACAGGACATAGAGGCTGAGGCCTTCCGCTGATGTTGCCTCCTGGCTCTGGGATTCAGAAGTTTAGTGCCTCTGAGTGGGGAGGTTCCCCACAGTTGCCATGGCTAGTAGCCATTGATAGGTTTATCTTCCATGAATCTGTCTAAACCCCTTTTAAACCTGTTTATTCCTGTGACCGTCATTACATTCTCTGGCAGCAAATTCCACATTTTAATCACTCTCTGTGTAAAGTAGTATTTCCTTTTGTCCATCCTGAACCTACTGCCCATCAGCTTCACTGGATGCCTTCAAGTTCTAGTATTTTGGGAGAGGGAGAAAAAATTATCTTGGTCCACTCTCTCCAACCTATGCGTAATTTTATAAACCAGAGAATAAATGAACGGGAGAGAGATGAGTTCAGTAATTTTAATGTAAAATCGAAGGGACCTACGGTAGGAAAGGATGTCTGTAATCTGCGATGTCTTTATACTAATGCACAGAGTATGGGAAATAAACAGGAGGAACTTGAACTTCAAATAGTGGAAAGTAAGTATGATCTGATAGGTATCACTGAGACTTGGTGGGATGAGTCTCATATATGTAGCACAGTGATTGAAGGATATACCTTGTTTAAACAGAACAGAAT